TGACTGGGAGACTGAGGGAGAACAGAGGGTGGAGATGAGACTGGGAATGGTGGTGTTTGAGTGAGGTGTCTTTCTTGGGAAAGAGGACTTGGCTGTAGAGAAGATGTGGGAGGGAAGGCAGAACAGCATTGCTGCTTGTGACATTTCCAAAAGTATCATTTTCAAGCTGCCTTGCTGCTCTTTGGATAGCATCAGATTAATTTGATCCTGATTCTCTGGTCATTGTGGTTGACTCTCCCACTGGCTGGCAGAGGCTGTAGTGCTGGGCTGGACCAGGGGCTGCCTGCTTCTTCACTGAGAGCTAGCCCTGGGCAGCTCTAGTATCTCCTCAGCCTTTCCCAATAGAGAAAGGGAATGATGGAGGGCCTTCATCACTGTTGGTGACAGTGCTTCCTTGTCAGGAAAACTGCATGGAGTTGGCATGGAGAACAGCTCAAATCTGTCCTTGCACACAGTGTGGATGCTACTGGCTGACGAGGCTCCTACTTGGAAGGAAGGAGAGCCATGGGAGAACCTTTCAGAGTATAGATGCAACATGTTCAATGCTCAAATGGGCATAGACATCTTAAAGTATTAACAAATAGGCTCTTTTTGTAGTTAATATCCGTGGTATGTTTGTCCACAGCACAGGCTGAGTTATTCACAGAAACAGCCACTGCATCACTGTTCAGAAGAGCTCCAAAGTATTTTATATAATGTTTCCAGATCACAGGATAGTAGGTTAGGAATTACCCCAAGTTAGCCTTGACTGTTATTCTGCATTTCTACTGTATAAAACCGTCTTCTTTTCTATATCTCTCTGCCCATTTCCCTGTCAAATGGAAAGTAAACCTAAGTCTTAACATCTGTACTCTCCCTTTCTTTTGCTCCATTTTTTTGCTTTAACCTTACCTAGGAAATGTACTGGTGAAACCAGCGGGAATTCTTCCAAATAAAGCCATTAATCAGCATTATACATCAGAAAACTCAACCTCTTCGCCTACTTAACAGCAAAAAATATGTACTATTGCCAAGATAGATTTAAAAAGTTGAAGTCTGTGTAGCTGCTTTATTCCCAGGAGTTGCTAATGGCAGTGTATATTTTGAGTCAGAGCAATAGTCACACCTATAAAAGTGATCAGTGACTGCTTGATATCCATGATGTTTTCCAAGTTTGTCTCAGGCTTGTGCAGTGAGTCCAGCACACATCTGACTTTCAGAGTGGCAACAGAGCGGCTGTGGGCTTAGAGGGAACTGGGTCTCAGCTGTGACCAACCAAAAGAGGTGGGAATGAGAGAATGAAAGTGATAGAGAGCCATGATTGTGCTATAGGAATTAATGTTGTCCAGATTTCTACTTACCCACACCCCTCTCCTAAAAAAAAAAAAAAAAAAAAAAATTAATAAGAGAAACTTGGGGAAGTCCACAACTGAAAATTATGTCTTTTATTAAATTATGTCCTGTGAAGGATATTGGGATGAATTGGCTGAATAGCATGTTCTAGTCCATGTCAGGTCAGGGCCTACTGTCATCAGAAATGTTTTGTAAAGCTGGAATCCAGTGCAGCATGTCCATCGTGTGTGTTCCTTAGGACTCTGGAGAATTTTTTTTTTTTTTTTTTTTTTCCTAGACCTGGAAATACATCTGGAAGCAATAAATTGTCCCTGTCTTATTGCAAGGGTAGAACATCCTTTCTGAGTTGTGCTATCCCTGCGGTGTCAGGACTGCCACTGGAAGTTCTTGGGCTTTCCCACTTTTGCAGAAGTGGGGAGGGGTTGAGATAGTCATGAAGCATCAGAGTTCGGCTCTGAGGCTTTTGAGGGTTGGTCGGTCTTGTCCATGGATAAGCTTGGCAGCATTGACTTGAGCTGGATGACTGAGGGGCTGAGTCCATTCATGGGACCCAGTGTTCACTGGGGAATGGGAGTGCAACTGTGGATCAACTGAGACATGATTACCTCATAAATCTTGGGCTGATTTGGGGCATGAAACTAAGGATAACACATGTAGAAAGTCCTCCTAAAAAGTAAGCCACAGAAAAAAAACCCACCGTGGAGCATACAGAAGGTCAGACTCTGGATCTGTTTATTGGCAAAGAAATGACCATTGGAACAATGACTAATAGATGCTTGCTGTGCTTAGTTTCACAAGTACCTAACCTTGATTATGCCCTACTCTTTTAGATGCAGCCATGTCCTGCTAACCTGCTTGTACTAGAGGGGCACTGCCACAATATGTGTTCCTTAAAAATCCTAATGCTGCAGGAGATATCCTCTTTGTCCCTTGCCACAAAGGTGTGATTTCTGCTTTCAGAGCGGAGGACAATGACTATTTCGTTCACATAAAATCATAAGATGGTTTGGGTTGGAAGGGACCTTAAAGATCAACTAGTCCAAGCCCCCTGCCATGGGTAGGAGCACCTTCCATGGGACCAATCTGCTCAAAGCCTCATCCAGCCTGGCCATCACTTACTAGACAGGCCTTTCACATCCCATTGCCTAATGAAGCACCTTCCTTTGAAGCAACACCTTGGCTGCTTAGGAAAAGCTATAAGCCCTCAATAGCCTCTCACACTGCTCCACTGCAAGGGAGATCTTTATGGTCTTTTCTAAAATTATTTACACCAGTCTGTACCGGCTGGTATTTTTATGCCTTGGTTTTTGAACTGCACCTTGAAACGCAGAGCTCTCCACTTCCCCCCACAGCTGGGCCAGCCAGTGGTGCAGGGTACAGATGAAGGAACGTGCACACCACACAAAACCCACTCCCCCGGGTTTGCCTGCAAAGAATTGACATCGCAAAAGAAGAAAAGTCATTCAAACCAAAATTGCCTGTTTGGCTTTTGTGTTTGGAGAAATGCAGTGTGCACAGTCCCAACAGAGGCATCTTGCGACAAGAGCTGAATTTTGCCTTTGCTTCTCGAAAGCTGGAAGTCACACGGGCCCAAGGAGTAACGTTAAAAAAGCCAGAACCTGCCAAGAGGAAATCACAATAAAGGGAGAGACGTTTTTTCCCCATGACTAAAACACCTGTCACAGCTGCCAGGACTCTGCTAATTACACAATAACTTCATTATATCCCACTTGGAAGAACAAACAATACTTGAAGCTCCAAAAATGAGCAGCCTTTAGACTAAATTAATGCAGGCAGAATGACTGCATGGAGCCCTGTCCTCCCAGTAGCTCCAGAGAGTAAAATGGCTTGAAGACTCCTCTCTTCTTTGCTAGTGCTACATAATAAAGTAATTGTGCAATTAGAAGTAGATTACTGATGGTAGATGAGCATTTTCTATGCAACATAGGTAAAAGACTGGCTTTTCTGAATAGGTTTGATACCTCAATGGAGCCTCTCTTCTCCTTTGTACTTGACCTTCTGGCAGCCCCTGGTAGCATCCAGACAGGAGAAAAGGAGCATCACCAGTTGAGTGTGGTTTCTCTTCCCATGTGAATATATTAAGGAGGTATCATGGAGGATTTCACTGTGGTCTCTGCTTTGTCCAACACCAATGCAGCAAGAATGGCTGCAACATGGATTAGGGGGTCTAAAAATAAAATAAAACATGACCTCAAAATTGAGATACAGATGAATATTGCAAGTATCTCTGTGAGGGAAGCAAGTCTTGGCTCTCAGGTATGGATATTCTTCCCTTCATCACTTCTTTTGACTTAAGGGAACCAGCCTGCCTTTGGTTAGGGCAAGGTCAGAGTTGTTGCTCTTGGGCACAGACAGTGAGTGTAAGAAATCATGGCTGGAGCAGGAGTCTGAAGGAGCTGGAACATGGTTGCTGGCCATCTGCAGGAGGGAGGTCAATGTGCATTTGGGCACACTGGTGCTTTGGGGAGCCTTCTCCGTGGAGGTAGACAAGGATGCATAAGTGCTGGGGGACTGGGGGAAGGCACGTGGACTGTGCTGAGGGCTCCTTGTTCTCAGAGCAGCAACTTAAAGACGTTGCATGGGGATCAATGCAGAGGGACCACCTTGAGCCATCCACCTGGTCCCTCTTGGCCTGGTAGTGATTGATAACAGGTCCCATGAGCAGGCAGCACATGGGGAATTGGGAGTTAAGACATACTTGAGATGGTGGCAGATGAGTTAGAGGAGACAAGGAGTGGGGAGTCTTCTGGGTTTGTTGCAGCTCAGACTAAAGGTTGTGGCACTGTCTTCTCCATATCTTGCTAGGGTTTCTCTTCTCTGCTCTCCTTGGGTGCCTGTGGCCTCCAAGGGATGCCAGCATGGCACAGGGGTCCTCCTGTGGGAAACTGCCTCTGTGCCCTTGCTCCAGTGAGAGCAATTAATGCACACCAGAGATTCTGTGGAGGAATAGGAGTCTTCCATTGCTCCCATCTTGGGCGGTCTTTGCCTCATTTTCTTGCCTGTTGGATGATGGTGTCAACTTCTGGGGGTCAGAAGAGTAAGAGAAAAGTGTTGCCAGTTATGGTGGTGGTGGTGGAGGATGCATGAGCTGAGCAGGATCCGCTCCAGTTCATTGTGGGTCCCTGTAGGTATCACCCTGACTGAAGGGCTCTGTGTGCCCAGGTGAAACTGGAAGAGAGGAAACAATATGGGCAACATATTGGGCAACAGGAATGGCATGAATGTGGTTTTGGGGTGAAATAACTCTTTGGGGGTGATGTTTCTCCAGTCTAAGCTTGGTCATAATTCTGACAGGATATACAGACACCACAGTGACTGATTTCTCTTGTGACAGCCCTAGGAGAGGACTCTGTGGATGACTCACCTCTGATGTGGTGTCACCTGTAGCTACTTAACCCTTCAAGACTGTTAGTCTGGTATCCCAAAGTCAGGAAAGAAAACCTGTAGCATCTTCCCTGCCTTGTGAGCTGCCTGGAAAAATTAGCCCTGCGGACAGGACAACTGCCAGGACTGCTAGGATAGGCGTCCTGTCCAGGGGCTGGTGGTGATCCACTGCCAACCTGCAGCAATTCCTCCCCGTGTGGTCAGCTGGTCTCGTCGGTCCCTTTCCCCCTGTTGTACCTGACAGATGTGTGTGCTGTTTGCAGGTCCCGTGGCAGTGATCAGCGGAGAGGAGGATTCTGCCAGCCCTCTCCACCACATCAACCACGGCATCACGACACCCTCGTCCCTGGATGCTGGCCCGGACACAGTGGTGATCGGCATGACCCGCATTCCCGTCATCGAGAACCCCCAGTACTTCCGACAAGGTCACAACTGCCACAAGCCAGACACATGTGAGTGCCCGATCCGGAGCCCCCCGTGAGGATCAAGGGATGGGCTGGGGGGATGGGGGGCAGGAGGATGAGGAGGAAGAGGTTAAGAGGATGAGGAAGAAGAGAAGGAGGTTTTTGAGGAGAGCGGGTCTTGGTATGGTCCAGAAACCAAAGTGAATCTCAGGTCTCAGAAATCACAACATACATGTAGATGCTTCCAGAGAAGACTTTCCACTCTCACCTTCACCTCCCTTCACCCTCCCTCCGCCACCCACCCTTCACCTTCCCCCCTTGCCTGAAAGTGCCATTCCAAGCCAGGCTCTTCCTCATCAGCTCCACGCATGAGGTCCCAGGCGTGAGCAAGAGCCAGCTGAGAGCATGGGGATGGACATGACCCCTGCTTGGCTGGGGAAAGGACCTGCCTCCCCTTCCTCCTCCAGCAGTTTCCCAGCCATAGGGCTGCCTCTTTGGCTCCCCAGTGGGCCAGGGAGAAGCTCAGGACGCATGGGCATAGGTGGGGCAGATGTGTGGAGATATCTTTATCTCCAGGGGTTTTAGATGCTGGATGTCTTGTTTTTACGGGCTTCTGTAAAGCTTTTGCACCTTTCCTGTATAAATCTGGGTCATGAACTGGGCTCATTAGACTAGCAGGTGGTGATCAAATGGTCCTCTCCAGTTTGTGTTTCTAAATTCTGAGTGTAAAAGAAAAGTGCTGTGTAAAAGGATGCTTTTCTGGGAGTCCTGCACCACTTCCCACATGAGTGGTGGGATGCAGCCCTCCCTAGCATGCAGCTCATAGGTGGTAGTTGAGCTCTCCCAGGCCTCTTGCCAGCTCTGAGATGCAAGCCAAGCAATGCAGGGGGTTTGGGTAACATTCCTCTCTTGCTATTGCTCATCCTTTTAGTGTGTCTTGGTTCCAGGGAGAACTGGAAAAATAAAAGGCTTGGAAAGGAACCCAAGGTGAATAAGGCTCAACTTGGGCTAATTCTGTGGCTCAACCAGAACCAGGGAGTGCTGTGCTGGCCACCCCTGTTTATCCCCTGGCTTCTGCTGACTCATGGGTGTAGGAGACATAACTCAGCTCTTGGAAACAGGGAGAAGGCTGATCTCCCAACCTGTGGGAACCCATTTGGCATTAAGTGCTCAGTAGGAACACACTGCTCCTGTTCTCCACGCCTCTCTCAGGGGAAGAGGAGCTGCAGCTGCTGCTCCCATGGAGGTGTCCATGGTGCAGTCCCTGCTGTGTACCCTCCTGGGTCCTGCTGGCTTGTTCCCAAGCCCTTATCACCATCCTTCACTTGCCAGAGGGATGGGATGTACTCAATGAATGTGCCTGGCTTTCCCCTTGATTTTCATTTTAATGTGCTAAATTTGGTCTGTTTGTAGAGAGGGGAGGATGAGGGTGGTGATTAGGCAGGAGCGGAGAAGACGAATGTAGCGTGGTTTTTCTGTGCTGTTAATTATATATTTTACATTTCTTATAGCACCTCATCTCAGAATGATTTACAAACTCTGATGGCTTGTGAGGGGGGGCTCTCCCCCTTTACTTTTTTTTTCCTTTCCCTCCTGTGCTGTCTCAAATCTCTTTAATCTATGTGCCGACCATTTCAAGATGTGGGTGCTGTTGAGGTTGTGCAGTAGCAGAGCTTAAACCTCAAAGGATTAAGTTTTGCTCTGAGTGTTTGCCCCGTGGGGCTTGTCAGAGCTGGGTGGGTTGCAGGGGAAGTTGCTCCCAGCAGGATTTGGTTCACAGAGATGACAGGGAGGGTGTTTATCCTGTGGAAGGTGCCACAGGAGGGAATGCTCCAGGTTTTCCAGGGCTGCAAGGCAGTGGGGCTGAAACTAAACCCCACAACAGTGGCACTCCTTTGGGTAATAACAAGAGGCAAACCACAGCTGGATGTTTGCAGGCTGAAAGCCTTAATTTTTTTTAGATTTCTTTGTCATTCACGGGGCAAAACCCTTCAGCCCTCAGGCAGAGTTGAATTTGGTGTGTGCTTTGTGTTTTAGTCCCCAGGACTTGTCTTGGACAAAATTTCTGACTTCTCTGGTGGCTTTGCTTGAGGCTGGAAAGTTTCATAATTCACCTTTTAAATTAACCATGCTTTGGGGAGCTTTCGCTGTAAGGGGCTTGTTTGATCTGATGTGCTCTACTCAACTTAAGCCTGAGCTGGAGAGTATTTGTTGCTCCTGTTCTGCCCGTGGTTGTCACGCTGGAGGGTTTTTCTCTCCTCCTGTGCAGAGCTTGGACACAAACAGTTCTTCATTTGCTGTCAGCTGCAGAGAACTCCTCTGGGCTGGGGGAGTGCCTCAAATGCCCAGCTGAGCTCCTGCCACCCACCTCCCACAGAGCTGCTGCCCAGCCACGAGCAGAGGTGCTCCATGAGACCCAGCATCTTTCCTTTGCACTGAGTTGCATCTTCAGCAAGCATTTTCCCCTCTCCATCATGAAGCTTTTCTCCTTCCTTACTCCCACAAGCATCTCTGTGCTCTTGAATGTTGTCTGGGTGGAGGACATGCCGATACCCACTGCCAGGCTGCAGTGAGGAGAGCAAACTCTATATGCTTAATGCAGCATTAATAGTACATTGATGTGATATAGATTTCTGTCACCCTCTATACTAGCAAGCATCACTTATCACGCAGGGATGACGGATGTTTATTCCCAGCCACTTAGCTCTGCATAATGGAATTGCAGCTGAAATATGGAGAGCAGCTCCCTGCCTGTGGAGCTGCAGCCCCTCTTGCTCCCGCTCTGCATTGCTGTCCCATGGGATCTTCTTGTTAACGTGTCCTCAAGGAGATAGAGATGTGTTCTTCACTGGGAATGCGCTGTCCTCGTGACGATGAGATGAAGGGCGCAGGAGCCAGCTCTCATTTCTGAATTTCTGGGATTTTTGCAATTGTCTCTTACCCCCTTTCTGCTACTGCTCGTTTTAGAGGAGCAGGTGGGACAAATGTGACTGAAAATTCTGTTTCCCTTCCTGGATGAAGGATTCTCAAAGAGCCATGGAAGAAACCAGCACCACCCTGTTTTCTTGTGATGAAGCATTGAGTCTTTGAGATGTTTCCCCGGCTTTATGCTGTAACTCCATGACATGCTGGGCAGCACTGGGCAGACATCCAGTCCTTGTCTCAGCTGTCCTCAGCCCTGCCTGGGGAGGGTTAAGCAAAGAGTTTGGCAATGTGGACAGTCCAGCCACAAGTCAAATTCAGAAGAATAAGCTAAAACTGCCACTTTCTCCTGACCTTTTGCACACTGAAAAGAAACCAAGTGAATTTCTTCTTGGCAGACATCAGCAGGAGGAGTGACAGGTCATGAGGAGTTTGTGCCTCTCTGTATTTGGAAATAAGCAGATGAGAGGAGAAGAATGGGACTTGTGGCAAACACTGTGGTCAGAGTAAGTGATGAGGATGAGGGTGAAGGACCACATAACATCAGCCTACGGTCAGAGATTTTGGTAGTGCAAAACATACCCTCATTGGTGTCCAGAAGGTGACTATTGGTCCTTCTGGGCAGGATTGGCAGTAACAGCAGCTTCTTACCTTATCTCCATCTCTTGAAGTTCAGGATTTTAATTTCTAAAACACAAGTTTTGTAATTACGAGTAGCCAGAGATTTCTGTGGTGAAATATTGGTAATGTTTCAGAAGAAACATTTTGGAAGATTGTTTTACTTTAATAATAGTAATTAAGTAGTCATTAATTCGAAGCACAATTCATCAGATGCAGATTAGTTCTTGGATCTGATCTCTTGAGCTTTACTCAAATGCCACAGTACAGTTTTGGAGTTGTTCAGTTCCCTCGTATTTCTCATCTGACAAAACAGGTCTTCTGGAGAATGACACAAATCAGGGAAAAAAATCCAAACCTCAGTGGAGAAAAGTAATCTGGGGGGGCAGGTCCCCATCTGCGTCCCAGCAGTGGATGTTCACTTCCCAAAAAGACTGTGAAGCTAGACTTTTTGGGGCAAATGATTTGATTTTGGGGGAGGATTTTGCCAGACGCAATCGGAGCTGGCTGTGTTTTCCAGGACTGGCGCAGTCTGGGGACTGGGATGCATTCTCCACACGGGTGGAGCAGCCGTCCTTTCGTACAGTCCTAATGAGGGTTTTTTTCAACCTCGTTTATTACAGGCTGCCCTGACATAATTACATATTCGAAGTTAGTAATTACACGTATTCATGCTAATTAAGTAATTAGATATAATTACACCAACTGTAAATACATGGTAATCGGCTAAAAAGAAGTACTTCAGAAAAAAACAAGACAAATCACACAATAAAGGCGCCATCAGCACTCTTTCACTCAGTACCCTGCCTTTATCTTGTATTTCAGTGCAGCTTAAGAGGAACATTGTGGTCATTTCAGAAATCATATTTCTTAAACAAATAGATTTCCTTACCTCTGCTTCTAATAGGTCTTGAAAACAAGAATGAAAAAGATATTTACCCTTACCACTGTTAATTTGTTTTGTTTGCCTAGTATGTTCTGTTCACACTGGGCATGGGAAGATAAAAAGTATGCAGCATTTCAATTTTTGGTCAGTTCATGTTCCAATTTTTGCCAAAAACAACAACATGAAACTAAAGTCATAAGGGCTTTTAGTTTTATTTGCCTAAAGAAGAAAACTTGAAACAGTTGGTAGGAGAAGTTTCTCCCTTTCTCCTTTTATTTTTATTTTTTTTTCTGTCAGGGATAAGAGGATTTGTGAAATATTCTTTTCATGCAATATAAATGTGGAGCCCAGTGTGAAGTGACAGCAGCACTCTGCTGCCCCATGGCCAGCCTGGGGCTGGGCTGTGCAGGTCTTAGCCCCTCCCACAGAGCTCTGCTGTTTCTCCAGACTTCTCTTTTCCTCTCCTCTAAGACGAAAGCCCCCAGCTCCAGCACAACCCAGCTCCCATTGCTCTTCTGAAGTAGGCACTTGTGGGTCAAGAGTCTTCTGCACTGAAGTTCCCACTGTCTTACAGCCTTGTCCTTCTCACTCAGCCCATGTGAGATACTTCTAAGGGTTTTGA